TTTATTTAGTAAATTATTATACCATTTATATCTTCATATTTTACTATATTAATATTTGAAATTATCATAATTTTATACTGAAAAAATATAGTCAATTTAATAAATATTTAATTGAATACTGCCAACTAAATATTTATTAAATATAAAGCTATATTTATTTGATACAAGAAATGTTAATTTGATTTAACAATCATTTTTTTTATTGAACAAATATTTACTTACCATAAGTAAATGTTTAGTTGGCAGTATTGAACTAGATATTTATTAAAATTAACTATATTTTTTCTCAGTGTATAATTTCTTCATGTTAGACAGAATTATACACATTATTATATGATTATTATTACTATTATAGTATAATAACCATAAACATTCTTCTAATTATAATTACTTTACCATGCAATTACAGTCATAAATGCTTATTAATAAGCATTTTTCTCAATCATGATTTGAACTAAGAGAACAAGATTACTAGAATATTCATTTCGAATAATCTCGTTGTTATTTATAAAAGCCGCTAAGTTTATACCTTCGACAAATCTCTGTAATTGCTGGGCAAACTGAGATCGAGTTCCTTCGTTTCATAGTTCGTTAACACCCAAGGAAATACAGGATATTGGTTCAAGTCATTGTACGTGCGGCCTGAAATAATACAAATTAATTTTTTTTAAAACCAAAAATATTTAAAAATAAGATTGAAAATTAAGTTACTCTTTTTTAAGACTGGCTCAATTTTTGAAGTGAAATTTCACTCCGAAGAATTTAAAAAATAAACTTTAACTTTAAGTTTTAAACATTTATTAATTAAATGACCTAAATCATCGTTTAATGTCCTAGACAAAAAAAGAACGAGGAAGTCAGAATGATAAGTGTTTAAATTAAATTCCTCATACATACAATCGAAAATATATGAAAAGAGATCGCAATTTGATTTTTAATGCGGATAATCGTCGGCCCACTTTTTTCTTCGCCCTGAGCCTGCGTCTTAGCGGTCACTCCTATCCATCTCGCACCCCCGCTGTTAGCTAAGAGCGACGAAAGCGACCACGAGACATCAAGCTCGTGATTCTATTTTTACGAAAAACGCGCCGCGCGGCTCAATGGGGCGCGCCGCGCCGTTTAGTAAGCGCATAACTCAGAGCGTGACGGCTAATCGCTCCTGAAATTGTCACTCCCAGAGGTCTTACTCATCCCCCTCCCCCTCAAGTCCCCACAAAATCCCATCCCAAAATGCATTAGTGACGGCAGCGTGGTCCCAAGGCTGAGTTCTAATCTCTTTCCCTGTCGCTAATTAAAGCACGTCAGCGAGTTTGTCACTCCGCGCTCTCATACGGATACACGTGTGTCACCATCCTCCCTTGCTCCGTTACTTCTTTCTCTTTTCTTATTTCGGCTCTATTCGACGGCATAGCACGCGAAATGTTCCCATTGCTGATTATCGTGCAACGGAAACGATTAGATTAATTAAATTTACGTAAAAGCAATCGAATTGTGCTAAATCTGCAAATACAACGCATCGTTTAACAAATGTAGCATAAAATAGTGATACAATATATGGTAGAAATTTATGTTGATATTTTTCAAAAAATATGTGACTGTTTATTATTACTTTGATCGCCATGTTATGCATGCTGGGTAAAGTTTTAGTTTCTGTAAAAAAAAAAAAAAAACAATAAAACATAAAAAATAATAGATTTATTTAAAATAAAATTATTCATTAAAAAATTTTTTTATTTATATCCGTTTTAATAAAAAGATTATTTCGGTTTGCGAATCATATTTTTACTGTCCTAGCTAAAATTATATTATTAAATATGTTATAATATAAATAATAATGTACAGTTTTTTTTTTAATTTATTTACTTTAGTGATCAAATGGTGAGGACGCCCGCATGGAATATGCAAGAGATCCGGGTTTCAGAATCCCAGCTGAGGCAATATTTTTCGCAGATTTAAAATTCTTATTAATAGACTATTAATATTCATATAAAGATGTTTATTAAAAATTATTAAATTTGCACCTGCAGGTAATAGACAGGTAATAGACAGATAATAGACAGGTAATAGACAGGTAATAGACACTTATCGACAGGACAATTAATCAAGAGATTATGACAAACGATAGTGTGTAGAAATATAGTGAAGAGGAATTATTCAAATTAGTGTAAAATAAACAGAAGTTAATAAAATTCGTGTTTGTGATGAACTATAAAATTTTTTTTGCATACCATTAATTACACATTCTGTTATAAAGACTTCATAAATTGTTAATTCAATGAATCATATTATTGCTCTGAGTCTACTCATAATTGCGTTTCAAGATCGAAAAAGATTTGCGAAAAGATGCGCGATCGCGCAGTTTGCAGAATCAGATATATATATATAAATTTATATATAAATATTTAAGCATTAAGATCCGCTTTGATCGAATATAGAATTTTTCTTATTTAACTAGAATTATTTACTTTTTTCAATTATTTATACTTATTTATTGGACACATTGGTGAAATGATATGGTTTATTTTGTACAATTTGACTTTACATAGCTTTACAAAAATCTAATAAAGAGCCAATTTACTAGAAAATAGTAATTAATTTATTTTAAGAAAATACTGCTTAAAGTACTGCTATTCAGCATTTTTAGTATTACAAATAAGTATATAATTAATTGCTGTCTTTCAGTAATAAATTGATCAATATTAGATTTTCATAAGCGATAATATTATCATACTAACCAATTTACTAAAAGACAGTAATTAACTTATTTTAAGTAAGTACTGTTTAAATAAAGTACAGATGTTCAATACTTCAAATAAATAATTAATTACTGTCTTTCAATAATAAATATTAGTCAGTATTAGATTTTCGTAAACGATATTTTATAAAAAGTCGCTCATTTATCGACTTTGAGGCTCTCAGAGCTCAACATTGAAATCAGTTTGACAATCAAAATGTTAATTATTATTGCGCATAAATTTATCCCTTATTAGAGCGCATTTTTAAATATCAACACAGTGCGGCCATTTGTTACCGAGTTAAAGACACCGTGAACTGACAAGAACTACTAGACTGAGAAAGTCTCCAAGAAGTTCGTCGAATACTTAATTCCCTCGATAAAAAAAAAGCAATGCACTGGCAAAGTCGTACCGCATAGGCCGCTGGATAAGTTCCACTGTCGTTACAATACGACCGTAAATCGTGGGCGTCGCGCGAGCGACGGCCGTGCGTAAATAATAGCGAGGCCGCGTTATGCATCAAAGTGATTATTAATGGTAGCGTCGGCGTGAGTAAACGCTCGGCAAACGTGTCTCGACACCAGAATGTCCGCGACACAAACGCACACACGTATCCTCTGTCGTTCTCTCGTCTTAAAGACATTACCCTTGCTTTTTCTTCCGAATTTTGTCCCTGCTTCAGAAGAAATATAAACATTTAAAAAAAGAATTCACAGATTGTAATTATTCGCGACCTACAACAAGAGCATTGATAGTCGAAAAGACGTGCATGTAAAGTACTACAAATACTCTTAAGCCGGGAGTAATTATCTGATTTTTTAACATAGATTTTGTCATTAACTCCGAAGAGTTAAGTCTAATTTTTTAAATTTAATATGTAATTTAACGATAATTGAGAAAGATAATTGAGTAAAGTTAGGACGTCGAATATTTACTTCGTCAGAGTTAACGATATTTACACTGCATTTGTGTATTATAATTATAGACGTTTGTGTATGTCTATAATGAATTAGTCGTTGATTTGTTGGTCGTTTTATCGGATTGTTGTTACTGCGTCCTCGGCAATAATTCACTCCAAAGCAAGATCAGCCTAGATACGATCGAAAACGAAGGCGACGACCTGTTGGCAACTACCTGGGATGAAAGGTCCGTAGATCGGCGTATATAAAACGAGCTATATACATTTTGAAAAATAAATACGATAGAAATTTAGAGGTACTCGTATATCAATATCCTTTGTGCGTACGCATCTTGTCGTATACTATATTACATTCCGCATTATATTTATGCTTCACATTTCTTAATTTCAATAAATATTTGAATAATGAATCTTGTGTTTTCGTTTTTATTAAACACAAATATAATCTGAGTTATAAGTACGTTATTAAGTCAATAATTAGTAAATCAAGTAATCTTAATTTTTATCATCTTGATTATTAAGTGCAAAAATAAGACTTGACTAACTGAAATTATATTGAAAATCGTATAAAGCACCATAAATTGTTTTATATCTAACGAAGAATAAAACAGTTTAATTTATATATAGATTAATATACAAACATATCTATTCATATATGTAATATAATATTTATTTTTATAACAGTTTTTAATTCCATTAAAAATTTCCTTCTTTATTATAATATTTATTACTGCCTATTTCAAGAAAATGCAATAAATTGAGAGTGCTTTGTACTTAATGATGACTATAGTTGATACGCCAGATACGATTGCGGAGTATGTAAACAAATTTAAAATATCACGATATCCATGGGATGTGACTAAAGCAATTATATCGAGAAGAGTTAAGATCAGATTGCGTTATAACTCCAGCACACTCCAGACTATGCCGGCTGCATTTTGCACAGGGTGGTCCATATAAAGTCTTACAAATTATTTTTCACAAGAAACAATATAGAAATAGTGATAAAATATAATTATGGATATATGACAATGTGAGATGTGAACATAAATATCCGATATTCAAGAAATGCACAATGTTCATCCCGAAAAGTACTTATCGAAAAGTACTTGTCTCTGTCTCGAACTCTCTTCACAATTCGCCCTGTACACGCGCGGCCGGTTCGCCGCCGCCGCCACCGCCGCCACTGATGCAGGCTATCGTATTTACATCGGATTCACTGTCATTAATTTTTAATAAACCGACGCACGAAGAGCAAAATAAAATCTCGCAGACTGATCGTATGCGGGAGCGGACCGGCGCGGCGCAGCACGGTGCGGACCGGTTCGTTTTCGTATCGATTCTCTTTCTCTCTCCACTGACGGTTCCACCGCTCACATTACGTGCAGAGAGCGCGGCCTCGGTATACCCACGGCTATTTATTCGAGCAATTAATATATAACCCTCGTAAATACGCAGCCGCGGCCACCCCCGGGCGGATTGCGGCAGATTGCGCCGAAATGCGAATAATTACGCGTCCGTGCTCATCGCCGTCATTAAGCCAACCTGGCTGACCGCGGGCGTAGATGCGCATAAATCCCACACGGGCGAGATAACTTACGACGCGAGCTTGAGCGAGCTCTTAACCGACTAGTTTACAAGAATCGCAACCGATCATCGGTTAATATTGCCGCAACGACGATTGGCGTGCCGCCCGTAACACTATCGTGCCCACCGACGATTATTATCGAAAGAACTTGGCCTGGGGAGAAGAGGACAGCGAGAGATCGATCACTCCTGGGAGTCGATGAACCTCGCGGCAAGAGAAGAGAATCGTTTGATGATACGTTTGTTTCTTCTATATACAATGCTTCTTGCGTGTAATATAGAAGATAAATGGTGCACGTTGAATTCTCTCTTCCGTGAAATTAAAGATAAATTGTTCTATCGTGCGCACGATAATAAAAGCACAATGAGCGAACACGCTTTGCGTGTAAGTATCATTAAATCTCGTATAAATGTTGTCCGAGAAAAGGAATACGTCATTCTGTTATTGGCACTATTGTAATCTACTGGGAATAGTCACCTTTCATATCCAATGGAAAAATGTAAATTATAAAATATTGTTTTATACATAAATATATATTGTTTAATATATTTTTTTACAACTGTTCTTTACGAATCTTTAAATATGCAATTCCGTAAAAAATCTGCAATAGAAAAACATTATATTAATCTGAAATCTTTATTTTTTAGAAATGCTGTCGTAATAAGCTAACATGCTTATATTCTATTTAATATTTATTTGATTATTGCCATTATATTAACGTTTAAAGAAAATTTTAAATGTTCAATACAAATATTCTTGGAAAGGAATATTGATATCCAACGTAGAATAACCAAAGAATAATATGTGCTATTTGGATAATAGATTTAGATAATAGATTAATAGATTTTCCATCTTGTCAAAATTAATTAATTGTGTAATATTTTATTCGGTTGTATTTATATTTGCCGTTTTTCCCTTTTAATATTTAATATCGTGAATCGTATATAACTTATTAAAAGGAATACGCTTTGATGAAAAGGTCAGCGAGATGCGCCTGCTAAGTATCTCGTGATTCGTCAAGAAACGTCCGAACTGTCTCATTAAAAAGCGCACGAGGCCGGTGGCGTTTCGAGTTTCGTGATTTGGTTCGATGAACGCATGAGGGAGCCGATATTAAAACCGAAGAGAAACAAAGACACGCCATTTCGCCCTCAGCAACGAGGCGAGGAGGGGCGAGTCCCTCGGGAGAGGATTACCGGGGTCCACAAGGTTGGGATTACTCGTATAGGGTAGCTAACGGAACACAGGGCTGATTGAGAACATCCCTAATGCGCCATGACAGACTCCATCCGCCCGTGTGCACCCATAAAAAAGCCTGGTGTCTTCGCTACTTTCGCGCTTCTTTCTCCAATCGATACCCAAGCGGAATCGGCCGACCACCAGTCGATTTTGATCGCGTTTTACATTTATCTACAAAGTAAAGATACTTACCAGCAATTGTGTTCAGGAACATCAAATATTCAAAATTGGATATTTCCCGACGCTGCCATTTTTGAGTCATATTGGAGCTCCTCATCAACTGTCGCGGTGACATCAAAGATGCTCGTCTGTAAAATAAATAAAATTTATCAATCATTCACATAAAAAATACAGTTATGTTAAAAAAATATGTAAAATATAACTAACAGAAAACGAAATAATGCAACTTTACAGTAAATTATTTTCCGATTAATTTACTCTAATTAAAGTACTCCAATAACTGAATGTATCCAATGATTGAAAAATCAAAAATGTATTTATAATTATTAAGATGTTTGTCAACAACAGTAAGAAATGATAAATAAAAAAGAAGAAGTTAAATATTTTTATCTTAAAATACATAACATAAGTCTTTAATTGCAAAAAAAATTGCGAAAAAAATTGCGAAAAAAATTGTTCGTTTTAAGATTTGGAGAACTATTACAATAATTCTCAAATAATAATCTTAATAATATTATTAACGACTTCATGCATTAATATAAAATTTCATCTCAACCTATTTTTGCCATGAATATTCGAAACGTCCATATCTATGCTCGTTAAATCAATGTATAAAGGATTGTGTAGGCATATAGAAATAAGAACATCCATATGCATCGAAACTACATACGCCAACAGTATCCATAATCAGAACAAGCCCGAACGATTTATAGTTTACCGCCAAAACGATATAATTGTATGCCAGATTGTAGGCTATATTGCGAGATATGTCACTTCTCGGCATCGCGCAGCGTCTTTTAATTACCAAATCAAACGAAAGGTGCATATAGCTTTGATAAGCAATTAAGACGGCGGTCGGGCCCAATTTACAAGAGCAATTACGTCAGGACGCACACCGGCATTTTGCGTTCGCGCCATAAAGCTCTCTTTATGAACGCGAAGATCGCTGATTTAGGATTTATATAGGAGACTTTAACGGGCGTAAGTCCTTCAGACATTAAAGGAGGCACACGACGACCGGATGTATAAATTCAATTCTTGGATTCATCTCGCGTAAATTTCATACGAGCATGAAAACTTCTAGTGCTGCAGTGCGACCGGCAAAGTATCGACTGTATTTCTTGAAATATAAATCAAGTCAATCACTCTCTCATGTGGAAATTTTGGAATGTATTGTTTGTTAAATGCTTCAACTTATTTATGTGTATATATATATATATATATATATATATATATATATATGGAAGATTTTTTAAAATAATTTTGTTGAATTATATTAAAAATAATTTTGTAAAAAACTTAAGCGTGTTCAGCAATGCTACAAAAAGTTTTGACATTCCATCAGCTTAAGTATCCTATATAATTAATTATTTATTATATTGATTTTTTTGATATATATGATACTTTCAACAAAGTTATTTTCAAATCTAGCTAAAATTTTTAGATATTTCAGCAAAATCGTTCTTTTCATATGTATAGTATAAAACTTTTATAGTAAAATTAATATGCTTAAAGTATAATATATGAAGTATGATTGTCACATACATACATAAATTATGCGATTAGGAATCTATTTTAAAAATAAATTCTATTTGTGTTAGCTATGGAGTAGAATAATATTCATGGATCGGCAGATATAAATTAATACATAACTGATATGCTAAAAAAAATTCCTAATTATTATCGACTTATAGATAATTTTAATAAATAAAAATACAAACGCACGTGCAAGTTTTATGGAAATTATTTTTAATATTTTTATCGCTGCGTAAAATATTTTTTGTGAATATATATAATTATTTATCCTATGCCAATTAAAATTGTATTGTAATGATTGAGAATATTAGCTACTATATTATTGAGAGATAGCTACATTAAAGTAATTATTATATGACAGCGTGTCAATCATAATTTTTTACTCAGCATTCGACTATTTTGCGAAACGGACACATAAATCAATTTCCGGGAAAATCGAACCTCTTTTTAAATTGTTAATAATGAATAATTCATGTCGAATTCACATTATAGAAATGTATAGAATGTAATAAAATGTATAGAATTTTATATTCATTATATAAAATTTTTATATAGAATATTTTTAATGAATAAAAAAAATCAACATTTTCAACATTTTCAACATATAAATTTTTAATATTGAATTATATTTCAATTAAAAAATGACGATTAAATCTAAATTCATTAAATCAATTTATTTAAAATTAATCGAACAGTAATTGTAATACTTCTTCGAAATATTAAATAATGCGGCATGCTAATTAAACAATTTAACTAAAGAACTTTTCTCTTTCAATGAATATGTTTTCTGATGTGTCACGACGGATTCGCATTTTATATACCGACGAATTATTTCGGTCAGCCAGGAATTTTCTCTCTCAAATCAGTCGGAGAGAGAACGTCAGAGTTCGCCGTCGTATATTTATGGCCGATGTATCCTTCTCGCCGGCTATCTCGTATATAGGAACATTCTAATGGATGGGTCGAAGCGCGGATACGCGAACCTCTGTTCTTGCCGCCAACTCCTGCCGACTTATGGGAGACTTCGTATCCTGCGAGAATCTCTCTTCGGTGCTTACGACATCACAATACGAGAAAGACATGGAACTTCGTGCAGGGACGAATTTCACGTCTTTGCTGTCTTTCTTACGCTCGCTCATATTGCCATATTTTTATTCTTTCAAATACCATAAATACTTATTTTTTTTAAGGAGCGCATGAAGAGAGAAAATAAAATAACATAAATAATACAATAATTGTTAGTAATAGATACAAACTAATAAAAATTTCACTATTGCTTGCACAAAGTTCCACTTTTTAATATAAAATATCTTCAATCTATAATTTAATAATCTACATATAATAATAAAATAATAAAAAGAAATAAATAATATCTCATTTTTTATAAAAAAAATAATTAAATAAAAAATACTACATTGAATAAAAACATCTTTTTGAAATATGATACAGGTAATGAAACAAATTAATAATTAAAATGTTACAAAAAAACACATTCGTGTATAAATATAGTCTTTAAAATTATCACTTATACGTATTAATATCATAATCTGAATTTTTTATCTCTTTCAAGAATCAACTTGACGACAAATCATTAAAAAAATATTTTTTATCTCATTTTCTCTCAGTTTGATTCACTGATAGTGACTAATTATAATATGTTCTCATTCTTATTCATTGTGCTTTTATAATCGAAATAGATACTGGAAATGATAAGTATCTGTAGAAAGAAGCGCTTCGGATCCGTCCCTGGCTTGCCTTAGGGACAAAGAAACGAGAGAATGCGACGAGCATGTTTGGAAGTAGATTTCGAGATCCTTGGATCTATCCGTGGAACGACAGAAGCGCTTCCTTCCTCCAAGTTATCGCTTACCTAGTCTGAGGTATTCCGTATTTGATGCCAACACCGACTCGCGGTAGCGCCTTGATCATCTTTTTCACCGTCGCTTGGTCCGAGAACGCGAACAGGATCGAAGCTGTGGACAAAAAGGTGTTAAAGTGTGAATTATTAGCGAGAGAGTCCAGTTTCGAGAACATGTCGACGTCAATCATTCGGACGATGAAGAAAAAGGAGAGAGATAGAATTTCTTTCTTATTTCAAAAACCAACTCTTCAATTTGATACATTTATATGTATAAAAATATTGATAAGAATTATAATTTAATGAAGACAAAGATAAAGCTAGTACTATTATCTAGCAAGGTACTATTATCTTTAGATGCCGCGCAAAAATATTACTACTTAATCATGTGATTATGCTAATATTATTAAGATATCAGATTGCGATAAATTATTAAGTATACAATTTATTATACAATGGCTAGATTTGTAATAAATTTGTGGATCTTAAAATCGATTAGCTCGTTCCTGTGAAATGATAGAAAGCACAAGAGAACCCAATCGTTCGGAGTGCGTTCGCGACGCTCCCCCTGAGAGTTCAAAGGGTAGCGTGCGAAGAGATGGTTACCATAAATACTTCCTAGTAATTTATCGAATTATCTATACACGAAAGCAAATCTTAATTAAGAAAGAAGAAAAATTCAATATAGATTTTACTTTTATATAAATAAGATATAATTGAATATCTACTTTAAAGTCGATTTTTTCTTTTTTTTTTTAAATAGTCGGTAATTCTCATAATTATAATAAACATACACAATTGAATAATTTGTGTTAACGTTAATACATTTTATATGTCCCAAATGATCCACCAAAATTTTTGTGTCAATTTAACACAAGATGAATATGTTAGGAAATAATATAAATATTAAAAAATTAATGCAAAAAAAATATAGCTCTGACATAATTTGTAAGCAAATTATGAAAGTATATTTCTTCATTAAAATTTGTAATATGATAAATTAACACACATTATTTTTATATTAATTATTCATTTATTCATGTATTATTTTAATATTTTAATATTAAGAAATATTGAATATAAATTTAATGCAAAATGTTCATAATAGATATGTTTATTATTGCTACACTTTCTGAACTAGTGTTACACACACAGTGCAATAAATTGAAGTGAAACATATGTTTATTTCTCTTCAACTTATTGCATCGGTTCAGAATGCGGCAATAAAAAAACAGACCTAATATAATCACATTATATTAAATTTACACTTGGATAAATTAAAAATTCAATATAATAATTTTAACAAGAACAGGTTTTAAACAGAATGTTTTTTACTATGTATGAATATTTTCCCAAGTAATATAAATCGACATTCTTCATCATCACCTTCCATTCATTCACCTTCCATTCTTCACCATGTAACATACTCTTATTAAGCATACGTATTTATTATACACATGCAGCAACATATAGTCTGTTCAGCTGTTTCATGTTTTTGTTTGGATTCATGCTGGTACGAGCATATTGCTAATTTTCTAATTATAAACATTCACACGCTGCTAATCGTAAGCAGATGCTCCAGTAATCACTTACTCATCATAGAAACCGCCCTTATCCGCGGCGGCATTTGCAATGACCAATCATGTGAATAACGCGAGGGTTTAAAGTAGCGTGTCAAGAGGCGGTGATCATGAGAATAGACTAAAGTCTTCCAGAATTAACTGTCTAACTGTTGTGTTCAATAAAAAGGTCCCATCATATAATTATTGCATCAACTTTTTCTCTAAAGCGGAAACGTGAAAAATAAAAATTTTTATTCATTTTTCACGTTTCCTAAGGAAAAAGTTACATAATTGATACCGCAATGATCGTAAAGCACGCAGCCCGATGATCGAAAGTTATACTGCGGTCCCGTTATAAAGTATAATTCATTCTCGGTTTTTATTGTTCGACGATTTATCGCAAGAGGAGACGCAATCCTTGCATTCCCCGTTTTTCGATTAATGAACGCGCATTTCCAGTTTTTTTTTAATAAACGGCGAAGGCACCTCGCAGGGATGACATTCCACCGCTAACGTCTCCTCACGACGACGACGACGCATCGAAAGTCAAGATCAGATTAGAATCAGGAAACACCTGGGAATTTATCTGCGCTCCCAGAGAAATAATCAGCAGGATAGTGGTCCAAGGCAGGTATAAATAATCCTCTCACTCGATTTGTTATAGGATATAACAATTCTCGGATAAAAGCAATAAAAAACAACAAAGAAGCAACAATTGTAAATAAAAATGTCATATTGTAATCACATGAGCAAAATGATGAATTTATTAATATATGTATAAAATTTTGATTTCACTGTTTGATATTAAATTAAAATGAAATCGATGTATTTCAATTAATACAATGGTATTAATTGAAATTCAATTTTACACTATTCTCAATTAAAAATTATTTACGGAAATGTGAGGTTATCAAAGATATATGTATATTAAATACAATTACGATATGACGCTGCGGGATGAAGTACAGCAATAACTGCAGGTGCGCCCGCGGGATTAAATAATAAATTGATTTAGAAAGAGACAAAGGTGTAATGCGGGCAAGAGATATTTATTATGTAAAAACGAACACGCGCGTGCAACACCTTGCAGCGAGTTCGAGATTCCGTTCGTAGGATTAGATCACATCCTTGTCGCGCAAAATAACATGAAAGGAAAGGAACTCGGAGCGTCGATAAGAAACTGAATGCGCTTTCATCCAAAAGCGGTTCGCTGATTGAGGATGAACAAAACGAGAAAAATTGTCGGCACTTACTTCTGCTCGCAAGGAAGATCTCGATGGCCACATTTTGCAGTAAGTAACGTCGGGAGAAGATCGCGCGGACTTCGGAAAAGTACCATTTTCCATGCAAATGGTCACAGTATTTCAGTACCTGAAACATAAATTAGAAACGCACTCTTTTTATTAATCCTTTCATATCTGTATTAAAAAAATATTAAACAAATAACACTAAGTACAAATAACATCCATATTGATCATTCCTGAGGGGATAACCACTTAATGTAATTGTGAGACAGAATTCTCGAAATCATTATAAAATTCATATGAAATCTCTATTATAATTCGATAATTATACATGCAATCACGAGAAATCATTGCATAATATTAAATAAAATTATATATTTTACCAAATGACTTCATACGAAAAAAATTATTTGTAATCATATGAAATCAAATAAAATCATGTAATCTGTAGGATCATATTTCAGCTAGTGATTGCCTTCTCGATTATTCCAGCAATATTGCAACAACATTATGATATTCAGCAATATTGCAAATGCTGCTTATGAGTTTATATATAATATTATTTATAGTAACATAGTACAGTATTATTTTCATAATTTTATAATTATGAAGGACTAACTTATATATTTTACAGATATATATCCTTTGATTAATTTTAGACTATTATTATTTTATCTGCTATCATTTGTAATTGTTTGTAAATTGTTAAATTTCGAAGAATATTTACACTTTCTCATAATTATTATTTATCGCAATGAGCGAAAAGTGTCCTTTGCATTAATTAAACAAACACTTTCCAACATTAAAGGAAAGTACTCTCATTGAGGTACTCCAAGGCGGGATAGTCCGAGGATACGAGCGCATGGCTGAATATAAGAATGCAACCGCGATGCAGTGAAGTGTGATGTGATATAGTGAGACTAGTGCTGGTTGCAAGATGGCCGTCATGGTAGGAGGAGCCTCCTGCTGAGCCGAGAATCGATCCCAGGACCTCGCGGACTTGCGCTCTCGGACGAGTCGTGAACAACTCGTTGGCGAAAGAGGGAGAGGAGAACAAAAAGAATGAGATTCAGCAAGTGAGTGTGCAGGGTGGACGGGAAAAGATCCGGCGTACACGGCATAAGAAAGAAGGGGGGGTAGGAGGAGAGATAAAGTGAGGGATCCCGGATTTACCACCCCACGTTTAATAAGGCCTTCAATTTTTGCTTCTTAATGAGGACGTATCGTACCACCGCGATGTCTTTACGCACGGCAAATGAAATTATCCTCGAAATAATCCGTCGAAATGATCCATTCAGCTGATTATGCTCGAGAGGTCTGCGCGGTCAGAAATGCCAATAAGATCTTATCTACGGTCCTCGTCGTTTGTTGTAAAATCATTTTTTACCGATAAAAACGTGAATATTGCAAACGTAAACGTAACCAAAAATATTGAACTTATCGATATCGATACTCGAAGACACCTTAGCGTCATGTTTATATAATTATTTGACTTATTCTTCGTTTAGTCACTCTTAAGTCGAGTAATTAAGTGTATTTTTGCAAACATTTCGCAATTTTTGCAATAATTTCATAGTAGTAGACTTCAACGAGTATGAACGAATATGAACGAACACATAGAAGCTATATAAATTATATAAACCAAAAGGGAGAAATAAATATTAAAATTCTTTAATAAAACAATTATTAAATTTTAACAAATCGAAATGGTTAACATTTTATTTTATGTATGATTTTAGATTTAATGAATACAATTGTTGATTTTAATTCTAATGAGTACAAATGAATAATAAAAGATGGATCATCAGTAAAATAAGTGTTTTTGAATCTATTGTTTCTATATAATATAATTATATATTATATTTTGTAACATTTCATGAAAATGTTATCGTGACAAGTCGTCAAAGTAAATTTTTTGCACGATGATCTTTGGATGTCGAACGTGTGAGAAACAAATCAATTTCATTAATAGGGAAAAAGAAAAAAATATCAAAACATATTTTGAATCATTTGATTGAATCATTGTATTGTATTGTATGTATAAATGCATGTTAAACATTAATGACGACGCATGTCGAAATTATAAAAAAAATATAAAAAGTAAGCGGCAATAAAAAGTATCCGAATTTTTAAGGATCATAAATGTCACTTACAACAAAAAGAAATAATTTTCGATGAAAACGGGCATGAGAGATGTTAGTGCAGTAGATGTAAAACGTTTGGCAATTATTGTAAAAGAGAAATAATATCATTCTTTTATTTTTTAAAAGTGACACAACTAAAAATTTAATTTCTTTTTTTTAAATTTATAATTTTTAAGTTATTACTATGGATGAAGGTAAAATTATTCTATCAAAAGCAAATTAATTTAATGTTGCAAAACGTCCTCTAAATAGCACTTGTGTCATTTTTAAAGTTTTCAATAAGTTCATAATAGTAATCTTCTACAAATGTATTTTTCATTTTTGTATCATTTTTGTAGAATGATATATTTTGAATTGCGTCGTTTTTAAATAAAAAAGAATGTCTTCTACAGAGAAGATTTAGAATAAAAAATTAGATTTAAACTCAAGTTTTGATCATTAAAGTTTGAAGAAATTGTTTCATTTCATTTTAAATTTAGCCATTTTTTTATACTAGCTGATCAAGATAAATATAAACTGTTAGTAATATTTCGAGTCATTTTTAATGAATTATTACGGATTTGTCAATAATTTTCTGTTGTTAAAAAATAGCTTTTTCCCCTTTCTGAAAAACTTAATATTTTTTAGTCACTTTTGTTGTGTTACTTTAAAAGTAAAAGAATGATATGATCAAATGCTATTTTTGTCATCATTTTCACAATCTTTAAAAGCCACTCTTTGTGATGATTTTAATAATCTGTTAAGAAGCTAAGTTAGTTCACTTTTAATTGAAATAGTAATAAAAAAATTTTAATTGATACAGTTCATTTATGATAATAAAAATCATGTTTTATAAATTAATGAGCGATATATTTACATTACACAAGTGTTTATTTTTCAGAACTTTTTCAGAAATTTTTAAACATTGTATTTATTTTTTCATTTTCTTTTCACAACTTTAAGAGTCACGCGATGATCTAGTATATAATGGACGTAACGCGCAAGGAAACCAGCTCGGGTACGAACACTGCGAACGCATAGAGCCAACCCCTATGGCGATCTGCGCAAGCTCTCCGCAAACACTGCTCGAGATTGATAAGAGCCGCACCGCGACTCAGAATTCATTATTTGGATACCTGCGGCAGCAATACAGATATATCACGTACTCCGCATTAAATCTTATCAAGGATTAGATAGGCTCATTCATTATTGTGTAATCATCCCCTTGCATACAAAGAAATACGACTTGTATTGTTCGTAATGTAGCCCCTTTTTGTTGTATTAATCGACAATTCTTTAATGAAACATATATCTTATTATTTTCTAAAACTTTTGGAGTGAATTTCATTCTGAAGAATAAAACTTTATTCTTAAAAATTGAAAATTGAGCTACTCTTTTTTAAGATGGATTCAATTTTTGGAATAGAATCTTACTCTTTAGAGTAAGATTCCATTTCAAAAAATTTAGAGAATATATTCATACAATTCTAACAGAATCATATCAAGTAGAATTTAATAAATTATATATGTAGTTGCAATAAAGTTTTCATATTTAAAGAATAAAGAAAAAGAATAATTGATATTTATAACTGATGCATACAAATTTATATTTTGCTAATAAAATAATATTATATATTTAAAGAGAAATATAAATCTCAAACAATACATAACTATATACATTAATGCTTACTACAATAGATAAATGGTTTTGTTGAAGTATTTAAAAATTAGATAAACACAGATTTGAAAATAATTTTATTGAGCCATCGAAATAATTATGTTAGACGCTTAAGCTAATTGTTAGAATTTATCAAAATTTTTTGCAGTATTGCTCATCATCTTGAGTTGAGATATTTTGATGGTTCAACAAAATTATTTTTAAATCTATCTAGCTAAATATTTATAATTACTTCCACAAATTATTCTGTCTGTAATATATTTGAACTTCTTTGCCTTAAAAAGTATTTTTTATATATTTATATAATATTATTCAGAAGAGTAATGCGCGAGATACTTCTTGGATCAGTTATGTGTACATGTAGTACATTCATCTCTGAGAGCTCTATTCGAGACGTCGTCAAGCCGCAAAATGTATATCGTACCGGTGGGACGTAAAAATAATACGTTTACATGTCGCAACGTGAGCCAGTGACTGGGTGGTGGAGACCACACGCGGTTAAAGAGAGGTCCTGGCCGCTGAGTGTCAAGTAGTACGCGATTAGAACTCCCCATGATGCTCTCCGTGCTCATCTCTCACCAACCGAAACCGACTCAGCGGAGTGCCGGGGTTGCGCCGCGACAATGGGCGACGTGATGTAACAACATGTGTCGCGTTCGCAAGAGGGTTTTTCCCCGCCGTCGCATGCTGGTTCTATATACAACGTAGGGATACCATAGAATGGGATACCACTTAGCAGTCCGCCGGCGGTATACAACAAACAGATTAAGCGCCGGACAATAATGGACCCGCCGCTCGCTCGTCGAGCTCACTTGGACACCTCTATGAGCAGCCTTCCCGCGTTTCGAATGATGATTCTTTCGAAATCACGATATGACAATACAAAAAATATAGTGAAGTAGTATACGAATGATTGGTAAAACGCTTGTATACGTCTCAGTTGTTCATCGAAGGGATAATTCTTCATACATAAATTTCATTGTTTTCAGCATCAATAAATTAACCCTTGGTATTCACGAGTCCAGTGAATCTAGATATTTTTTTCACGTTTGTGAAAAGAAAAGAAACTATATGTATATATAT